GGTGGGCGTCGACAACTAAGGACACTGCAAAAGTTGCTATCTCGTACGGCAGCGAACTACGACTTTTGTATCGACGAAGCCACGGAGACTGCCCCCAATAGGCCACGTGCGTCGGCCCGATGGACCGCTTCAAGCTCGCGCACTGCTTTGGATCGCACCGTGTGCGGAGCTTTGCGATGATATGCTGCGCTTTAGCGTATGTTGCGTGTCTCTAACGAGTATGTCGCCCACTTTCTAGTCGGAGTGTTCACTGCCCCATGCGCACCAAGCATCGACCAGCCAATTTCGAGTCTTTAAGTCGACATGTCACGATGACATATCCATTGCGACGGGTTCGTTGACTGGTGTCGGAGATCTTTCCTCAGCGAAAAGGCGCGCAATGCTGGCACGCTCAGAACAGAGTTGCGGCACAAGATGGCGCGCGACGCGATATGTGCATCACCAAGTTGCTCGGCTTGATCGTGACGCCCGTCAGTTTCGGGTGAAGGTTGGCATCGGTCGCCAATGTGAAAGCATACTTGGGAAGCAACTGGAGGAGCACAGTCTGCATCTCAGCAATGGCAAAGCGCTTCCCGATGCAGTTCTTGGCGCCTACGATCCGCTCACACGTGCGGCAGCTCGGACAGGATCCTACCGGCACTGAACGGCATGTACGTGAACGTATTGCCCTTGCCGTTTCGGAGCGCCTTGTCGGCGAGAGCTTCCGTCGAGTCGTCCAGAAATCGCTCTAGAGGCACACGCATATTGCGTCTCAGGTCACAAGCAACAACCGCGAGAACGTACGGGGCACAAACGCATCAGGGTTGGTCCAGTATCGTGGATTCCGGTGGATGGCGCCGACGCTAAACGACACGTGCGCTCCCTACACACCTCTCGACTGCGTCCGTGCTTTGCAGCAAAAGCACTCAACTACCGCGGGCATGAAGAACGGAGCATCGTCCGTGCGCGGAATCGAATCATCGGCAACGCAATGACGGGTCGTGATGAATGGAGCCGTCGGGTACAGACGCAGAGTCTCATAGATCGTCGCTGTGAGCAGAGGGAGGTCGCTTAGCGTCTGCCACGACACGGCACCGCCGGCGTTGGCCAAGGCGCGACGGCACTCGTCGACGACCGCGGCTTCGACAGCAGGGTGCGTCGCCAGCATCGCCAACACCCAGGAGAGCGTGTTGCTCGTCGTCTCGTGGCCCGCAAACATAAACGTCATGACGTGCACCCGGGCTTCGGTGGGCGTCATCGCCGCGTCGGCCAGCAAGAGGTCGAGAAGGTCGCGGGCCGGCGCCGGTGACGCCACCTTGTGTGCAATCACGTCATCGACGATGCGAAAGAGCGTCGACTTGGCGGTTTGGATCTGCCGCAAGTAGGGTAGCGGCCAGTGTTGGAACCCGGGTAATAGCGTCAGGCCGAGCGTGTAGAGGAAGCGCGGTGGCGTGTTGAGCTTCTCAAAGGCCTCGAGAGCGATCGCTGCCCGTTTGTTTGTCGGGTCGAGCGTTTCAAAGTCATAGCCGAACGCGGTTTTGCCAATGATGTTGAGCGTCAGGCGCGTCATCACTACACACAAAGCTCGCACCTCCTACGCGAGACAGAACGTACAGTCCGGAACCGACACTGGTCCGGTTAGCGTGCCCAGCGTCGAGGCGAGCGTCTCGGTCTCGCCCGCAAACACTGGAATGTACCCTTTGAAGATCGACTGAGCAAAGTGAGGGTTGAGGCGCTTGCGTTGCGCCGCGTGCGCCGGGTCTTCCGAGCTCAGGAGACCGTCGCCACCAAGCAAATTCTAGCCCAACAAAATATGCAGCACTCAACACACAAGGGGAAGCATCGTACTTGAAAGAGCGCCCGCGGAATGCTGGCGCGGGGGTAGTTGGCCGCGTTGACCACAAACACATGCTGGAGCGACGTTGGATCGCTGAGATTGACGCGGTGGTGCCAGAACACCCGGTAGTGAAACGCGCCGCCAAAGTCGTTTTGCCTACGACATCTGTTGAAACGTCGACAGTGGTGGACCGAGGACTATACCACGAGACAAATGGCGCCGGGAAGCGCTGGCCGTCGTGCCAGCGCGTCTTGCCAAACTCGCGCCTGCAAAAGACGCTGAGTCAAGTGACCAGCGCTTCGAGACCGTACGCGTTCCCGTAGACGACGCTCGTGCTGCGGGGCCCTGGCAGCGCCCGAAGCGCCTGGCCGCGTCGGAGAAAGCGGACGCCGACCAGCGCGAGGCCGCCGGTGAGCGCAGCGACAGTCGCTGCAACGACGTCGGCCATACGAAGCAACTTGCTGACAACCATGGATCGGTCCAATCAACGACCAGATGACGTCATCACTCCGTGCTCTTGCCACGTCACTTCCCAGAAGTTCCCTTCGGCAGACTCGACGCGTTGACGTGTCCTTTCTGGCAGGTTACAGTTCGTTAGTTAGTTAGTACAGGTAGAGTCGTTCAAGATAGTTGCTACTCGTGCCTCCTACTACATACACCTGTCCTATATACATTGCGGTGTACGGCCTGCGTGCTGCGGTGGTCGACGCAGTTGCATGACAGCCACGACAGCATGTCATACCTCATTAGACTTACTATGCGTACGATATATAGAGTTAGCGACCTATGCAACAGTCACACTGGGTACGACGCGTCCTCTCTCCAAAGCAGCGCGAGGCTCCCCCAACCCTAGCTGCACTCGACGCCAAATTATGTAGTATTGTTGTAAAGTCCAAAACAGGCAAGATGACACCTACACGTCGTCCACGAGCGTGGCCATGACGTCATCCAGATCTTCTTCTTGCGCTGGCAGTGCTTCGAGTGCACGGTGCCACCACGTAGCGATCGCGTCGTGTTGCTTGGTGTGTGGTTGCTCGTCCGCCTCGTTCATTGCGTGCGCGTCGGCTTGCGTGCTCGTCGTCTCGTCGTTCGCGTCGTCGTCAACGCTGCGACGGCGGGGTCGCTTGGCGACGATCGACTCGTCCGTGGCGCCAAGCTTCTTGAGCCAGAGCTCTTGGCGCGTCTCCGAGCCGCGCTTCTTGCCCCGTTGCAGCGGCTTGCTCGGTGTGGTCGCGACCACTTCCTTTGGCTTGCGCCGGGTCACGTCCCGCAGGTCGTCGTCGCCCGTGACGGACGCATAAAACGCCTTCATCGTGCGCGTCGGCTTGACGACCGCGACCACCTCCTTGGCTACGCGCATAGAACGTCGGTGAAGTGACCCCTTGTCGGCTCGCACCTTTTTCAAACGCCGCCGCCTCGACATGGAGAAAGAGGCGCTTCTTGGTCTTCTCGCGCTGCTTGGCCAAGTCGATGAACATCCGCGTGCGCTCGTACGTGCACCGGATCTGCTGCAGCGCCATGATCTCTTGCTTGGTGATCCAAAGGCCGCGAGCTTCGTCAAAGACGGCATGGCTCGGCGGGTGGAGCTTGCAACAGTACGCGCGCTCCGTCTTGGTACCGGGCTTGTAGTTGTACAAGCGCGCTTCGTGGTGGCAGTACGGGTGGAACACGGCTTGGCACTGCTTCTTGCTACAGCTCACGAGGCGGCCCTACACCATTCGCGTTGGCTGTCCTCTTCTTTCATGGAGCACGCACGTACCGAGCGTTGCTGGCAGAGCGAACAGCACTTGGTAAGCGGCGGCTCCACCGGGTGCAGTGGCAGTGCATGCCGGGTGCCCGTCGCCGGGTCCGTCACAATGCGACTGTGAAACACATTGGCGCAAAACAGATGCACAAAGCCGTAGTGCAGTGCAGCACCGGTCGACGCCAACGGGCGCACCGGCAGCATGTAGTCGCCAACGCGGTCGCAGAGGACACAGGGCGCCGATGCGGCCGTCGGATCGACGGCACACTTTTCGCACGCCCAGTCGTTGGTAATATGGTCGATCGCGACCGCCGGGGCGCAGCAACTCGGGTGCACAATGACGCTGCAGAGGCGGCAGCGCAGCAGCACCGACGACGGCGACGACAACTCGTGCGATTTCGTCTTCTTGCAGACGGCGCACGTCGCATCTTCGTCGCTCGCGAGGAGTCGCAACTGCGCTCGCTTGGTGGCCTCAACGAGCCGAAGCGCGGCACGCGCATCGCGCTGAAGCGACCGGTCGGCACACGCGAGCGACGACGGTTGGTGGGCGTCGCAGTAGACGTTGAAGACAAGACCTTGGCCGCCACCGACGTGGACGTAGCCGCACGCGGCCACGGACGCGTGCATGTGCCAGCCGGCGTACCAGGCGCAGAGCGGGTGCATCGACGTCCCGCAGTCGGGGTGGCGGCAGCGCACCGTGCGTCCGGTCGCGACGCGACAGATCGTGCAGAGACCACCGGCAAGCAGCGGCGGCGGGAGATCGGCGACGTCGGCCAGCGGCGACGTCATCGCCGTTGCCGTGTCGAAATTTGCAAATCGCACGTGGGGCTGCATCGACAGTTGGAGCAGCATGCGCGGAATGTGCACGAGCTGCGTGTTGGGGCTCCAGAGCGCACAGGCCACATGGACCCAGAGACCTTCTTTCGTCATCTTGAGCGCGCCGTCGCGCATCGGGCACAGCTGGCAAAACACCGGCGCCGACGGCAGTTTGCGCAGCGCAATGCACTTGTCGCAGTAAAAGTCCGTCTTTGGGATCTCGGCGATGCCGTAGCAGCGCTGGTGCACGGCAATGTCGCAGGCTTCGCAAAAGATGATCGGGTTCCCGTCCTCCGAGATGCCATCAAAGCAGATGACGCACGTGCCGTCCTCAAACGGCTGGAGACGCGTGTCGTCCGACTCGGGCAGAAACGGCAGGTCCTTTGTGCCCTTGATGACGCAGAGACACACCGCTTTCCACCACGCATATTCGTGGTAGAGTCGCTCGACATGGCCCTGCGCCGCCAACTGGGTCTCTTGCGCTTGCATGTACTGCGTGCCTTTGGCCCAGAGCGACCGCCACCGCACGCGGTTCGTCTTCATTTGCTCGTTGAGCAAGTCGACGCACAGTTGCATCTCGAGCGTCATGTCGTCCTGCACTTGGCTGCCGGTGAACGCTGCGCTCTCGCCGTACTGCTGCTTGATGAGCACATTGGTGAGCGGTTCGAGCCCGAGGAGCGCCACCCAGAGCTTATGGCCGCGCGGATACGCCGGCGTCGCGTTCGTCAAGAGATCGTGAAACGCATCGGGCTTAAACCGCGTCCAGGCCACGTCCGTATCGGCCGGCGGCTCGGTCTGCGAGAGTGCAAACGTGCACCGCACCGCAGTCGAGTGCACGACGAGGTTGACCGCAATATGCGACGTGCCGTCGTTGGACGGCGACGGCGCGACCGAGTGCACGTGCAGGAACGGGTGGACGTCTTGGTTGAATGCACACTGCGCGCCGCTCGCGAGCAGCATGTAATCGCACGTGTGCTGCATGCCGGTTTGCACCATCCAGTCGTCGGATGACGTGACCACGACCGTGTCGGCGCACCGCGGCTTGTCGTACGCGCCCCGAGGCTTTTCAATGCCGTCGGGCTTGGCGCCCGTGAGCCAGTGCGCGAGCGGCTCGAGGCGCTTCTTCTGCATCGGGTACTTCGAGAAGAATGCGACTGACACTTGGTCCCAGAAGAACGCCGACTGCATCAGATGGCCAAACTGCTGGCCGGGCCACGTCATAAAGAGGTTGTCCGACGGCATGGTTGCATGCAACGACGCGATCGCAAGGTCGCCGACCGGATCCACGGACGCTTGGCCCAGCGAAAGCGGAAACAACGACGTCGTCGCATGCTTCTTGATGACCACGGGCACATGTGTCGTCGTCGACGGTGGCAACGGCGTCGGTGGCATCGACATCGACATCGGCGGTCGACTCGGCTCGAGTGGCATGGCGATCGATAGCTCGGGCTTCTTCTTGGGTGGACGCCCGCGGGGCTTCTTGGGACCTTCGGCTGCCTTGGCCGCTTTGCCCGTCGGTGTCGCCTTGCCCGCCGTCGGCGTCACCTTGCCTACAGCTGTTGCTGCCGCCTTGCCACCCGTCGGTGTCGTTGAATGCGGCGGCATGGCCTTTCCGGCCTTGCTTTTGGTCGGTGTTGGCTTGGGCGCCGACGCCGTCGCGACCTGCTTCTTGCACGACGTCGTCATGTGCTGCGCTAAATTCGTCCGCAACACGACTTCTTTGCAGAGCGGACACGGGATGACGTCTGTCATGATCTGCGGACGCGGCGGAAGCATCCCCAGCCCCGGTGGGGGCGGCGCTGGCCGCGACGTCGGCAGCATGCCCAGCCCTGCCGGCGCGGGTGGTGCCGGCGGCAGTCGAGGCATGTCAGGTCTTGGAATCGGCATTGTCACGTGGACTGGGCTCGGCTTGGGCTGGTAGTCGTCCTTGCGGGGCCGCCCGACCTTTTTGGCCGGCGGCGCGCTCAGTGGCAGGTTGAAGAAAGGCATGAGCGCTGCAGCTGACACGAGCGTCGCGGGTGCATCACTGGCCGTCGGCGCCGCCTCGAGAGCCTCGAAGGGCGCATCGGGCTCGTACATCTTGTCGCCGACGTAGGGGTTCCCAAAATGCAAGTCCTTGACAAGCGTGAACGTCGGCTGGACGTCGCCAAGGTGCATCGCGCAGTGGCACACGGGTTGCTGCTCGTCGTTGAGACCCGTAAAGACCTTGCTCGCCGGCGCGCGCACGGCGCATAGGGCATGGAACGACTTGGGGCAGCGCTTGCTCGAGCACTGCATGCAGCCGCCCCGCTTGTTGCAGAGGAAGCACTTGAGGTTGTTGCGCGTGGCGTAGAGGAGCTTGGTATCGACGACAACCGCGCTCGGGTGGGCCTCGGACGCCACCTGCTTGAGCTCGGGCAGCCAGCGCGTACAGACCAAGTGGCACAACGCGTGCGCCTGCGTCGTCGGCTTGAGCGCGCCGCCAGAATGCTTGCAGACGACGCAGACGCGGGCAGCGTTGGGCGTGAGCTCGTTGCGCGCCTTCTCGAGCGTGCAGACGTCGCAGGACCATTGCGCTCGGACCGCGCTCGGTGCCAGCGTCTTGGCCTCGCCAGCGTAGCACGCCTCGTGCACGCGCGTGTGGCAGCTCGGGACGTTACAGCACAAGAGCGCGTTGCCAGCGCTCGAGCGCGCGTCGAAGCAGACCATGCAGACGCGGTTCGGGATGATGAGCACGGCGTCCATCATCGCGTCCCCGGCGGCGAGGTCCGTGGCGGGACTCGCAAGGGCCGACATGGTATGTTCCTTACACTAGGCGTTTGTATGGCGGCCACGAACGACGTTGGAATGTTCGAAATCCTCGCCACATGATTGGCTAAAATGGAGTAAAATGCATGCATTTCGACCAATCCCAGGACATTGAATAGCACCATCCGTGATGAACTGTTGCCAAAGCCGCCAAAGCCTTGCGATCTTCGACTTGTCGAAACGCAGCAGCTCGCACGGAATCGCATCCACGCGGCGTCCAAGCCCAATCGCAGTCCTTCACGTGGCCCTACTTAGCGTCGTATCTCTATATACTAGCGCAGCACCGACCGTGGCGACCGGACGCCACGCACAAGTCCATAGCGAGGCGGGACCATCTGGGCAGCGCGTCGACTCTATTTTGGCGCCAAGATTTCCCAGCGTTATTTGTATGTGGACCGCAAGCCACATGATTGGTCATAATGTCTTGTGGCGGCCAAGCGTGACCGACTGGACACATCTAGCCCTTGGCTACAAGCACCTAGAACGACGCCTTCGCCGCCATGTCTAGGTATTATTTGCTGCCACCTTGTCCTCACGTTGCTTCGACTCGACCTCGGTTGAGCACTAGTAGACGGTCCTAGTAGATGTATCGGTCTACACGTTCAAGACAAATGCGCAAGTGCTCGCCGTCGACGCACGTGCCCGAGGCGCTCGGGTTGAACTCGCCAACGGATCAACGCTGGGATTGGACAAAAAGGCCACGATTTTTTTGGCGCCATGGTCCCGCTGGCGCCAAGCGAGGTCGAGATCGCCCGTGACGCTGCTGCCGACTGCACTTGTTCGTCTACTCAGAACGCGCTGTCGTAGCCACCTTGGTCCCCGCCAAGCACTTCGGTGGGGGGACAGGCCACGCACGGAGTGTCGCGGTACCGGCATCACGGATTGGCTAAAATACGGCATAAAGCGCGGAGATGAGCCAATGGCGTGGCGCCAATCCCAACGCAGCGCCGTGGTTGCATTTTGGGCCCGACCGTCCAATTCGAGTCGACGATGAGCGCGCAGCTGATGCGGTTGAAGGCCAAGGAGCTGGTCGACGAGTGTCGCCGCCTGGGTACCATGCTTCCTCCATGCGCCAGGCTCATGGCGCCATGTAGGTCTGCGGACGACGGGCAAGAAGGCCGAGATGGTCGAGCGCATCTTGGTGGCACGGGCGACGACGGCTGCACCGACCAAGCGACCGCTGGACGAGACGCCGACCAATGGCCACAGTAACCATAGTAGCAACAAGCGCGCAAAGACGGCAACGGGCGATGGCTGGACAGCCGAGCTCACGACGCTCTTCCACGCTTACGAGGACCAGGAGAACGCGGGCTACATCTCGGAGGACGGGATCCTCGCGCTCTGCGAACACATTGGCGTTGACGCGCAGGAGCCCGTCATGCTCGCGCTCTCGTTCCACATGGCGGCGCAGTCGATGGGCGAGTATTCCAAAGACGAGTTTGTCACGGGTTTGAAGGCGCTCGGGTGCCATTCGATCGACGACCTCAAGGCCAATATGCCCGAGATGGCCAAGAAGCTCTCGACAGACGAGGCGTTCTTTGCCCAGATCTATGCGGTACGACGCTATCTCCATCCTCTACGACGCTGACTTACGTAGTTTACATACGGCTTTGCCAAAGAGAAGGACCAGAAGAGCCTCGGTGTCGAGACTGCACTCGCGCTCTGGGAGCTGCTCTTGCCCAAGCGGTTTGCGTTGCTGCCTCAATGGCTGGCCTACGTGACGGTAGCTGCTCCGTATTTCGTCTCTATCCTATCTGTGTCTGTGTTAGGAGCACCACAAGAACGCTGTGTCCAAAGACGTGTGGACGCAGACGCTGGAATTTGCGCTGCACGTCAAGCCCGACCTGTCCAACTACGACGAGAACAGCGCATGGCCCGTCCTCATTGACGACTTTGTCGCACACGTCCACGACTCGACGACTCAGTAGGAGGCATTTACCGAAGCTTTTTTATGCTCATGGCAGCAGCAAACTTGTGAGCCAAAGGAGGAGGAGCATTGCGACGTTGGCACGGCCCCCTACGCAGAGGGTTTACGGTCGTCACGACGATCGTGCCGGTCGTACCCGCACTGCAGACATATGTGTTTGTGACGTTGGCCGCGTAGACGTTGAGATGACACGCACACGCGTCGGTGACGACGTCGGCGCACTTTTTCGAAATGTAGTTCATCTCGGTCACCGACGTGTTGGTGCCAAAGAGCATGTAGCGTCGATAGCTCTCGTAGCAGCATTCGAGCGGCTTGACAATGTCCTTGCAGAGGTCGTAGCTGCCGCCCGCGGACGCGACCGTGTCGCCAAGCAGTGCCACTAGACGCGTCATTCACGCCAGGACAATTTGGATCGTGGTGTACCGCAGTACTTGTACGGCGCGTAGCGCTGACAGGCAAACTGAAAGCTCGCTGCATAGAGGCGCTGGTTGGCCACCTCGAACTCGTCGTCGCCATGGAAGCAGTCGTTGTTGAGCATGGCCGCGTACGTGGCCGCGGTCGCGTTGAAGCACGAGTTGCCGCAGAGCAGGTTCTGGTCGTTGTCGTCGCGGTGGTCGAGCACGTTGAGCGTGCGCAGCTTCGTGCAGTCCGACTCGACGACGTGGCCGCCCACGACGCCGTTGGCGAGCTGGTCGCCGTTGATTGCCATCACATCCAAGCTTTGCTACACTCAAAATACTTGTCTCGATCAAGACGAAGCAGGGACGTACCTTGAGCGCCTCGCACTCGTCCGAGACGTAGCGCAGCGGACTCCCGAGGTGCTGGCCCGACGACCATGGCAGCAGCAAGAGGAGGAAGAGCACGAGGCCCAGCATGCGTCGTCCAAGCACGTAAACAAATGTCTATTTTCGGCTTTATGACGTGGAGCCCGCGTGGGCCAGCACGTGTATCGGTTCGTGTCGAAGCTCGAGCACCCGCCACCGTCTCTCATAGCCAACGCGTTGCGACGTTGCGGCTCGTTTTGCCCGACGCGACGTCGGATTCTTCCGGAGGACCTGCAGGGCAATCGCCCTACCGCGCCGGTGTTCTGTCAACGGTCCAAGGTTCGCCTTGAGCTAGCTCCTCGAGCTCGAGAGAGACGGCTCTTGTTGCAACCTCTCTGACAAGAAGCGGCCAAGAGTAATGCCGAAAATTACTGGCAAAGATTCGTTTTCTGGATCACTACACATGCCACTGCAGTTCAACCACCAAGCCGTCGGTTGCGGCAGGCCACCAAAGGAGCGCCCAATCTGCATAAGTCATATCCTGTCAAAGTCTGTCAAAGTGCAATGTCAACGCACTTTCCGACCGAGCCACTTTGCCCGTCAGTGCATTGTACTACACCCTTGTTACGGACCCTTGTATGGGAGCGCTCGTAGTATCCGACGGTCAGTATACTACATGTGTAGTAGTACGCGGTGTACCGTCCATCAACGCCATCCCCACGATGAGGAGCTCCGGGCAATGGCATTGTCGTGCTCGGTGGCGCCATGCGACTGCGCGTCGGGTGATTAGCCAGCCAACGTCTGGTTTGTAAACGTTTATACAAATCGGCGGCGAATTTGTAATATTTAGCGCCAGCTTCAAGTTGCCTTGTGGCCAAAATCGAAGTTTGGACCGATTTCACTTGCGTTTTGTATGCTCCCTTCGAAGATTTGCTTCGGCTTGACCTTCGATTCGAAGGACTCCATGGCAACGCGGATCTTGGCCGCTCGTCGAGGATCATTTTGAAAGAACCATGACGACGCCCAAGCCGACGCCTTCGACGACGACCGCCGCCGACCCGTGGACGACGCTGTCGTACCAGCCGGGCTTTGGCAACCACTTTGCCTCCGAGGTGCTCGAGGGCGCGCTGCCCGCGCACCAAAACAACCCGCAGATGTGCAACTACGGGCTCTACTGCGAGCAGCTCTCGGGCACGGCGTTCACGCTGCCGCGCCATAGCAACCAGCGCACTTGGCTCTACCGCGTCTTGCCGCCCGTCATCCACGGCAAGTACGCCGACTTGCCCACAGGCGATATTGTCAACGACTTTGCCAACGAGACGCTCACGCCGCAGCAGCTGCGCTGGCAGCCCATGGCCATGCCCAAGCCGCATGAGAAGGTCGATTTTGTCCAGGGCTGGCACACGATGGCCGGCGCGGGCGAGCCCACGATGAAGGCCGGCATGGCCATCCACATGTACGCGGCGAATGCGTCCATGGGCGACAAGTGCTTCTACAACTCGGACGGCGACCTCCTTATCGTGCCGCAGGAAGGCGTCCTCAAGATCACGACCGAAATGGGCAAGCTCCTCGTCTCGCCGCACGAAATCTGCGTCATCCAGCGTGGCATTCGCTTCACGGTCGAGCTCGACGGCCCAGCGCGCGGCTACATCCTCGAGGTGTACAACCGTCATTTCGTCCTCCCGGACCTCGGCCCGATCGGCGCCAACGGCCTCGCCAACCCGCGCGATTTCGAGCACCCGGTTGCTTGGTACGAAGACCGCGACGTGCACTACACGGTCGTCGGCAAGTTTGGCGGCAAGCTCTTCACCGCGTCGATGGAGCACTCGCCATTCGATGTCGTTGCGTGGCATGGCAACTATGTCCCGTACAAGTACAACTTGGACCACTACTGCACGATGAACTCGGTCAACTACGACCACCCGGACCCGTCGATTTACACGGTGCTGACGTGCCAGACCGACGAGCCGGGTTGCGCGGTCGCCGACTTTGTCATCTTTCCGCCGCGCTGGATGGTGCAGGAGAAGACGTTCCGCCCGCCGTACTACCACCGCAACGTCATGACCGAGTTTATGGGCATGATCTACGGCCATTACGATGCCAAGGCCGATGGCTTTGTACCCGGTGGCGCGTCGCTCCACAGCATCGACTCGGCCCACGGCCCGGACGCGACGACCTTTGAGAACGCGTCCAAGGCCGACCTCAAGCCGCACTACTTTGACGGCGGTCTCGCCTTTATGTTTGAATCGTCGTACATGATGAAGCTCACCAAGTACGCGCTGACGTGCGACCAGAACGAACAAGACTACTACAAGTGCTGGCAGCCGCTCAAGAAGCACTTCAACCCGCTCAAGAAGTAAACGTCGTTGGACCCTACCCCTAATGCTACCTGTTGTTTTGTGTGTAACGATGCGGGTTGTACTATCGAGTAGAGTAGAAACGATTGGGTAGTGCTATCGCAAGCTTTCGTTGGATGGTCGCCGCGTCGGCAGCGAAGACACAGTAACAGGTGTGGTCGGATTGGGACTCGAGCCCGCATCGGCGCTCTGAAGCGCAGCGGTCAATGGCACCGTGCTCGATCGGTGGACAAGGGTCACCGGTTGCTGGCGCTCGGCCACCGACATTTCGGTAAAGACCGCGCTCCCGAGATTCCCCAGGCTCTGGATCGTCTCGAGTCGAAATTTGCGGTTGGGCATGCTAAACTTGGTGACGGGTGTCGCCGGCTCGGCTTGCTTCTGAAGCACCATATCGAGCGCGAGACGGGTCTGGTACTGCGCCACATAGCTTTTCCAGATCTGCGCCCCAATCTCGTGGGCTTGAAAACGTGGCAGTGTCTGGTGCACCATGTGGGAGAGCAACGCGTCGAGAAGCGGATTGAAGAAATCGGGGTCGTGTGCGCTGTCGGGGCGGACGCCGTACTTGGCGTTGCCCGCGAATGCCGCCTCGTACCGGTGCAGGAGCAGCGGTGGGATGAACCGGCGGACGGGCAACGGCGCGTCCAGTCCGAGATGCGTATCAAAAATGTCGGTCGCCGACAAGGCCTCTTTGGCCTCCCCGCGATACTCGGTAAGCGCTTGCCACGCGACGAGGACCTCGACTTCATACTCGCCTTTGGCAAACTCGGAAAAAGCCTGGTATCCGTCGTCCGTGTGCAGGAAGGCTTCGAGGATGCCCAGCGTGCCCTTGAAGGCAAACCCGGACGACGGGCGGTCGCGAAATGCTTGCCGGATCGGCCCGAGCATGTGAAACACGACAATGACTTGGGCGCCGACGACCACGATGAAGAGTTCGAGGTGCGTCGCCTGGACGAACGCGGTTTCGTACAAGAGCGATACCGGAAGATAGCAAATGACAACTAGACATGAACCGTGCCACCTGCAAATGCACTAGACGACGTACACACACACATGGCGCGGGAGCTGTTTTGAAACGAGGTGCGGACGCCAAAGTTGTCGACGACCTTGCTCATCGCGCGCGAGAGCAAGAGTGTGCCACTGGCGATACAGCAGTATTGGACCATATTGACTGGGACCACGCGCAGTCGGAGCTCGTTCGGGCAGTTGGTGCCGTTGAAGCCCGAGTAGTCGGGCCCCGAGAGCACGAGCGCACACGTTGGGAGGTTCCACAGCAGCTGAATGCAAAGCCACGCATACGTCACATGCTTGCGTCGCAGCAGCCATTGCAGACGGGCGATGGCGGCCCGCTGGGACGTGCGCTGGGCATTGTACTTGGTCATGCGTTCCGTGAGGTTAAACGTCAGCACCACCTAATGCACCGCATTATACATGTGGGTGCCCAGAAGAGCAAGCGCCGCACCATGATCTCGGCGAGCAAGTACGACATGAGGGTCGTTTGTAGCGAGATACCAAAGAGCAACGCGAGGTTCGTGCAGCTAATCATGTCGGGGTTCAGCGACACGGCGCAGCGCGCGATGCTGTAGATGGCCGCCCACGCCGCCGCGATCGAGATAAAATTGGGGTTGCGATACCGAATCGAAGGCGATTGCCGGTTGCAGTAGTAGACTAGGAGCGGTACGACCATCGCCGACGAGAAGAGCAGCGCGAGTGCGATCAAGAGTCGCATCGTGCCTCGCGGCACCTCGAGCACGTCCGAGCCCCCCATGCGAGGGTGCACTGGTGGCGTCGCCTTTCTAATTATATGTGACTGCGATAACCGTTGCACCAGCGTCGTGGAGCGATATACTGTACGCTGCTTGATGCTGATGCCAACGCGCGGACGCCCACCTCTGCACTCGCCTCTTCGTGCGCGGTTGTCACTTCTGACTCTTATTGATGGTGACACTCTCGTTGTCGCCACCTTGTGCTTCTAGTCAATCAATGTGTCACCACTGCAACTGTCCAGCCCCACCATTCGCGAGCGAGATGAACCGCGATCACAATGGCGTTCACCGTCGATATAGCCCTGCGTCGTGTGACCATAGACCAAGCAGTGTAGCGACTCGAAAACAAAAGTGGTAGATTAGCTAAAGGCGGCGATAATGGTGGCAGCACTACAGTTGGAGGTCGTTGCGGTGTTAGCCCCCCCGACTGGCCTGGACAAGCGCCTAGCACAACAATATGGCATTTGTACCTATATCGACTTGGTACCTTATACGCCTTGGTGATGACGGCCACGTCGTGGGACTGGACAGCGTCGCTGTAGCCTAGCACGATCGCGGGGGGGACGCCCGCGGACGCCAAGTACGCCGAGAGGGTCGCCAGAAACTGCTCGTGCAGCGGCGACTCGAGCAAAAGCACTTGGCACTTGGCAATGTCCTTGATCGCCGAGTGGGCGGCCATGTCGTTCACGTTCATATCTTGGTGCTGGATGACGCCAAACATAGCTGGCACGACATCGCGGAGAAGGAACGTGCCGACGACGTCGCGGTGCGGCATCGAGTCGCCGTCCGAGTCGAACCAGAGCAAAATGAAATGCTCGACAATCGTGGCGGCCGCGCGCACGACGTGGAGCTCCAAGTTGAACCCGTCGAGGACAAGCTGCAACACTTGGGGAAACGACGCCATGTTGCGCGCCGAGACAAAGACCGTCGCAATACGATGCTGCGCAATATGCATCAAGTACGAGTACATGTGCTTTTGCACCGTCGACCGATCTTCGGGCGCGAGGTCGGACGCCAAGAGCGCGCCGAGGTGCGTCAGGAACGGGATGACCGTGGCTTCGACGAGCGACACGAACGCTGGAACTGTCTTGTACGTGATCACGAGCTGGTTGAGCAGCTGGACGACCTCGATCACGTCGCTTGGGTCGCAGTGCTCCATGAGCACCAGCAGGAGGTCGCTCCGGTCGCAGAACGCATCGGGCTCGAGCAACGTCACCATGCGGTGCAGCGTGAAAATGACCTTGGACCGAACGGGCAGCGAGCGGGGGTACGCCAGTAGCACGCGCGCCGCGGATGCGAGCACCGTCGGAAACACCTCGGCTTGCTGCGGCAGCGACGACTTGCCCTTGAAGCCCTTGAGCAAATGGCCGATCGCGTTGAGCACGTGCGACATGTGCAGCTCGAGCTCGTCGCTCGGCGGCGCACCCAAGCACTGGTCGAGCAGCGTCAGTTGCGGCCCGAGGACAATCTGGGCGTACTGGCGCTTCGTCTCGTTGAACGGGAGCGACCCGACAAGGAAGCCCGTGAGCTCAAAGAGATACAATTGGTCGGCCCACGCCAGCGCCGACGCGGCCTCGGGCACCACCACCAAGTGCGGCTCGATGGCTTGGAGCAGCTGATCCATATGCGGATGGACGCTATTGCCGAGCGACTTGAGCAGCCGGAGCACGAGGTAGCAGGCGCGCGACCGGAGCGTGCCGTGGCGGTGCCCAACGCCGCCGGCGCCAAAGATGTGCGAGAGCAGCAAACTCAGCAGCTCCGGGTGCGTGCGCATGAGCGGCGCGTACCGCACGCAGAGTTCGTAGTACATGATGAGCGGGCGGTATTCCATCGACCCAAACGACGGCAAGTGGAGCATCGTGTGGTGCAGCGCGAGGACCATCTGCAGCAGCGGGCCGTTTTCGTCGTCGTAGTTGTGCGGGCCCTTGATCGTCGTCAAACCTTCCTTGAAGCGGTGCACGAGGCAGAGACACGCCTCGAGGTCGCGGTCTAAGAGCGAGCCGGTTGCGAGCTGCGAGAGCGACTCGGTCACGAGCGTGCCGAGGTACTGCAGCACGACATCAGGGCGAAGCCGGGCGAGGTTGACAAAAATCGCGAGCAGTTGACGGCGGTACGTCTCAAACTCCGACTCGTCGACCTCGTCGTCTTCGTCAGGAAACCGAAATTGGCGGGAAATACCATGGAGCCATTGAGGCAAATACAGCGACGGCGTGAAGAGATCCGCGCTCGACTCGGACCGGAGCAGACTGCCCATGGCGTTGACGAGCTCAAAGACTTCTTGGGACACATCGGTCACTTCGTGGGCAAAGAGGAACCACGTGAGCGGCATTAGCGTCGCCATGAACGCGGACGCTTGCTGGTACAAGGCGCTTTCGTTCGTTTGGCGGAACGTGTCGATGCACGTGATGAGCTCAAGGCCCATGCCGTTGATGACCTCGCCGACTTCTTCGCAAAAGTCGGCATCCTAGAAGATACCGTATCATTCCGCCAGCACGGAACGACCGCGGGGTCGTCTCAGCAGTACCTCGTCGAGCATCGGCTGCAACGTCGTGAGGAGCGGGATGAGCTCGAGGCTTTGAAAGAGCGCGAGCTTCTTGTCCGGCAGCATGCCTTTGGCGATGATCTCGTAGACGCAGTTGGCGGCCTTGCAGCGAAGGTCGTCGCGATTCGCGAGCGCATGAAAGAGCGTTGGCACAAAGCGCAACACGAGGCCAATGTCGACCCACGAAATGTATTTTTCGAGCGTCTCGAGCGCGCCGATCGCAAGCGGGAGCAGCTGATTGTCACCGGGGACGTACGCGCTCAGGACATTGTAAATGACGTCGAAGGACGGCGCAATGCACGCCGTCGGACCCTCCCGCATCGCATCCTTGATGCGCATGTTGTGGTCGGCGTCGGCACTCGAGCGCTGCGCGTCAAACTCGACGATTTCTTCGTAAATCGCAATCAAAATGCGAAAGTACATTTCGACCATGAACGGTCCGAGCGGCAGCAGCGACAACAGGTCGTGGAATGCGCCGGGCCAGCGCTCGGGGTAGTCGCGCCGCACCTGTGCCGCCACATCAGAATATGCAAACGAATCGAGCGTAGTGTCATCAAATCTACCAAGAGCGTAATGACGACAGCGAGCTTTGTCTTGAGGTACGCAGGCAGCTCGCGCTGGGTCTGAAGCCACTGCAGCAGCTCGGACCGGATCGCGAGCACCATGGCATCCGAGAGCGCCGGATAGGCGGCGCCGCGCGGGCTCAAATATTCCTACACCCGATTCGCCATACCGCATCGCTCGATACATGCAGGCAACGTACTTGGAGCGCCTGGAGAGCGTAGAATTTGACTTGCTCGTGGCCCGACGACTGGAAGAGCGCGAGGAAAGGCGCGTAGCTCGTCTGCTTGGCGTGCGTGCAGTACATCTCTGCGTCGGCCTTGATCGTCTGCGCGCTGGCGTCCGCTAGCGGCGCGTCCGCATACTGGAAGGCGAAGAGAATCGCGCGCTCGAGGTCGGCGAGCGAGATGGGCGTCGACATGCAACTGGCGTCGTCCTTTCCGCGATGGTTGGCCAATCGGAATTTGAACAGCCGCGTTTGATTGGCCAAAAAACCTGTCGTTTTGCATGCACCCATGCATTGCCAGAGGTTCTCGACAAGACCGGGGTGCGCACCCCGCGTCTCGCGAGCTCCTCGCTGCCTACCGCACTGCTGATGTATTGCTCACACACGGCGGTCGGGCTTGTGTGATTCGGCCGACAGCGGGGGCCGACCCGGGTCCCCATGTTGGTTGGGTGTTTTTAGCCCGGTGCAAAGATCGCAACAACACCATCACTCAGCTGCCGGTGGCGCGCTTTGCACGATATTCCTGCGGTCGCCATGAGTGCTTTCAAGGTGCTTGTGGCGACAACGACCCGAAGAGACGCAACAGCGAGCGAGTGGTCGCGACAAGGAGGGACGTTGTCGTTCGGGCGGTTTTCACCACGTTAAAAGCCATGAACTTGGATGCATGACACTGGTGGGGGCACTGTTTGCTGTCTAGTCACTTGGAGGCTTGGATTTGGCGCCATGGACCAAGACATATTGAACGCTGTCATTGAGCTGCAAGGATGGCACTACTGCAGCGACGAACCCTTCCTTTTTTGCCACAAAACGCAGCTCGCCGCTGCTTTCGGTCGGTCGGCGCGCGTTGGAACGCCCGTCACAGGTCATACGTTCTGGTTATACATAGTTGTCTACTCGGGTGGGCTACGTGATCTGCTGCTTACAGTATGACGCTAGGGTACACCCTTACCTTGTGGCCTTAGCCGTCGTTTTGAAGCAAGAGCGCGACACCGGCGAGGATCCACTTGGCCTTGGGCGTCCGCGTGTTCATTGTCGCCAAAAAGACGTACGTGGGCCCGCGCATCGACGTGACGTACACCGGGCACTCGTAGGTGCTGGGGTCGCGTCGGAAGTGGCCCACGGCCGTCGGGTCCCAATCGTCTCGGATCGGCACGGCACGGACATAGAGCGTGGGCAGCACACACACGGCTTCCTTGGGCTTGGCTTCGGCGAGGAATCCCGCGCACGGCACATCGTCGACGACATACGCGTCACCGTCGTCGCCATCGTCAGGCACGCACCAGCGCGCCCCTTCGAGAAAGAGGCCGTGCACAAACGCGCCTTTGCTGCTGCTACTGGCGGATGACACGAGATGCGTCTCAATCGTCATGCTATCGAGCGGCTGCTGCGTCGCCCGGGCGGTCACTTGCTTGACAGCGGTCAAGAAGGACGCGGGGTTGAAGAGACCGGAGAGCCACATCGAGGAAGGCAGCGCCCAGTCGGACCCGAGGACCCAGCGCGAGAGGAATGCCGCGCGTTCGAGGAGGTCGCTGTACCATGTGGAGAGCGACTTGCGCGACGGGTAGGCATACCTAGTCGCACGATTTAGTGCAATAGGACAATGTGTACAAGGTTGTACCGTTCCCAGGAACACGAATGGAGCGGATTCCGCCCCGGCACTTGCTGCAGCGAGAGGGCTTCGAGGAGCTCTTCCATGGCCTCCGACATGTTGAGGAGACCGTTGAGGCCTTTGGCGAGCTCGGTCAGCGACCGCCGCAGCACGCTCACAAGGGCATTCATGCGCGTGCATTCTTGCAGGGCAACGACAACGTACGGTGCCATCGGGTGGCTCTGCTCTAACAACGGCGCCGCGTCGTCACTGAGCTCACTCAAGTTGAACGGCTCGGGGAGGCGCTGCAGCAGACTCTGCACGAGCGCGGTGGCCGACGTCACGGGCGACGCACTCGCTGCCGCGGCCGAAATACCCAACAACGCACCCCCCGTGAGCGTGAGCTGGAAAAGAAGGTCGTCGCACGCCGTTGTCATGGTCAGGATCTCTGTGTTCGGGTGCAGCCCAAAGAGGAGCGGTGTCTCTTGCGGCAACTCGTGACCAATGTAGGTGGCATACTTGGAGTACGTAAACAGATACGGGTCCGGGGGTGAGAGCCCGGGCATGATATCCTTACCCCGCAGCGCATCTTCGGTGAGGAGTGTTGAGAGATACGTGCGGTTGGTGAGTCGATCCCAAAAATCGGTTATGTGGCCGCCGTACATGATGTCGCCAAAGATGAAGCGGAGGTCGTCCCACGGCAAAGGCCCGTCGAGCGTCTTGTCGACGTAGCGCTTGAGCACATCGGCGCAGAGCGTGAGGTCGCCGTTGTTGAACGAGTACGGTCGGCTCCAGCCTTGGGGCCCGAAGCGTCGGCGCCCAAGGACGAGCGCGTGATAGACGCAGAGTGCAAAGAGGCAGCCTTGAAACTCGTTGGGCTTCAAGCTCGTCTCGATGGTTTTGACCGAGAAATTGGCCCACGCGCGGGAGAGGTTGCTGCGCAAGTCCATTGGCGCTTCGTTGGCGACTTTGATGCAGCATTGAAGCAGCGACTCGGGCATGTTGGACATGGACGGCAGCGCCGGCGCCTCGGCCGATAAGAAGACGCGAAAGTTCGGGTCCGCTGTCTTGGCGCACTGGTCCAAGAGGCGCGTGAGCACCGGCAGCCACCGCGGCATGAGATGAATGTTTTGCAGTACGAGCCACGAGCCTGCGGTCGCAAATGCGGTGAGTGTCGCCTCCGCCGGCCCCTCTTGGCCCTGCCCCATCGAGATGTGCCGGAAGTTGCCCTTCTCCGACGTCATTTGCAGCTTCTGGCCGAGCTGCTCGATCGCAACTGTGGGGTCGACGCCGGGAAACAGGAGGAAAAAGATCGGCGTCGACGCCGAGCCTTCTTGGTAGATGGCCTCGAGGTCAAAGGGCGGCTGGTGCACATACGTCGGCCCTAAATGCTCTGCGATAAACGCGGAAAGCGCCGGAAGGAACCGGTCGGGACGTAGAATCCGCAGCAGTAGGAGCTGACTGATTTGACTTCGCTTTCGCCCAGGCATCTCGTGCGTTTCGGGGGCGTCCGTGTAGAACCACTCCTTCCACTCTTCCGCGTCGGCTTTCATCTCGTTTGGGAGCAACTGGAAGCCAGGGACGTCCTCGAGCTTGCGAAGCTTCTGCCATTGCGGCTCGGTGAGCCATTCGCTGAGCAGCCCCATCGCCATGGCCGTGTCGTCCATCATGGGCGTTGTCGCCAGCTACAGGTACACATTTGGCATCGTCCATGCACCGATCGACGTACGTAGGTGAGTTCGGTCGCCGAGATCGTGCCGCGCTGCCCGAGGATCGCAAAGCAGAGCTGCGCCGCCAGCAACAGCTTGTCCTTCTCGAGCAAGCCCCGTCGAACATAGTCAAAGACGCCTTGCGTGATGGACGCTTCGAGGTGGCCACAGCGCACGAGGATCAACGCGTCATCGATCGGAACATCGTCCTTGGCGGAGGCGATGATGAAATCCAAGTCGGTGGTTTCTTCGAGGACGCGGTCTTCGAGAAGCACGTCCTTGTCCCAGTGGAAGCGCTGCGACCCGATCACGCGCTTGGCCGCGAGCTTGAACCGGTTGAGCGCCGACGGCTTCTTGGCATCGTCGAGGTCCATTGGCGCGGTCGACGATTTCGCCGACTCCATGCCCCGCTGGAACATGACCACGAACGCGTTGAGCGAAAATACATAGTACGTGTGCAGCTTGTAGAGGTTGTTGATGACAAAGAAGAGCATCGCGCCGCGCGCCGCGACAGTTGCATATTTCTTGGAGAGTGCTGCGATCTCGGCTTCATTCGTCTGGGCGGCTTTCGACTGTGCTGCGACGACGTCCGCGGTCGCTTTTGTGGTCTCGAGGTCGACGATGAGCTCGACGTTCTCGGTGACTTCGCCTTCGGCGTCGGCGAGGCTTGTGAGAATTTTGTCTTCGAGTGCGAGCATTTTCACTTTGAACTGCGTCTGCTGTAGCATGAGCGCGGTCCGCGCCCGCGCCTTCTTTGGCCACTCCTACCTCTCCATGGAGCCTTTGCTAGGTACGAGTGGACACGAACCTTGCGTACGACGAGCGCCAACAACTGGTCTTCGAGGCCCTGCGGCGTCACTGCAAAGTTGACCAATGTCGTCTCGGCTTGGACTTCGGGCGGGTAGTGGGGGTTGGAGAGCGTCGTGTGGAGATACAAACGAAACGAGTCGACCCACTCGATGACCTTGTCGCCGAGCTTGAGACACGTTTTGCGTCCTAATCCCGACATGTATACACCAGCAAGTCCAATGGATACGGGTACCTTTGGTGATCGTGCAGCGACTGATCACCGGCCACAAGACAGGATCGATGCTCTCGTCCATGTGCTCAATCAGCAGCGACGCGCCCGTCTCGATCGCGTGCTCCAACACTTGAAGGAGGTTGCTGGCATAACGTCGGACAACGACGAGGTTTGCATGGTCTTTCGATCGCAGCCAGTGGATGGCTTGCAGCTGCGGGTCCACCAAGAGAGGCCAGCGCTTGCACGCACTCACGATCGTCCCATTCTCAATCGAGACGGCGTCGCTCGGCAACCCCGCGCTACGATATCAAAGCTGGGATGAGGCAGTCCACAATTTTTGCTTGTACGTACCCGATCCACGTCGCAATGTCGGTGGGGGGCGTCAAGAGCGACACCGGCGACACGTCGTCGCGCAGTGCGAGCGGTTTTTTGCCGTGTAAAATGAAAGGTCGCCAGTGCGTACTGAGAAGCAAGTCGCGGTACGGCTTTGTAAAGGGACCGGCATATGTGACAAAGGCAGCCGCCAACAGCACATCGCCGACGATCGTTTCCGCTTCGGCCTGTAAGATCTGGACGTTGGCGGCCCACCGAGTGTTTTCGCTGCCGAGCGCCGCCGTCAAGCGGCGTGCGAGGTTCATTTTCATTTTGCCCTTCTCGACGGTCGCAATCGCGAGGTTGACGTCGGCGTTTGTGCGCTCGTACTCGTCCGTGAGCTTGGCGAGCCGCTCCGAGAGTTGTCGCACCTATTCCGACTCGCTTTTGAATCATATTTTGACACGGTGTCTACTTTGGAAAGGACGGCTTCGAGCTTGTTGTTGGCCGCTTGCCACACCTCGGTGCAGAGCCTTAGGGCTTGCCGCTTGGGCTCGACCGACACAATGACGTCATAGTATGCGACAATGTTGATGACCCACGCGCAAAGCCCCGCGGCGGCCGAGTTTTTTTTTTCAATCACGTCGACGTTGAAATGCGATAGCTCCAAGAGCGGTCGAATCTCCTTCCAGTTGACATCGGGGACCGCATACGAATCCACGAGCGACTTGAAGTCTACAAGACATTAGACAAATTGTCCACACATGACACAACGGGCGTACTGTGCAGGTCGTCCATGAGTGCGTTGACGTTGGAGAGAAGAATCTTCTTGGCGCTTTCCCACGACCGGTCTTTTTCTTTGATTTTACCGTTCTTTTGAACGGGAATGTCGGGGTTGAGACCCGCAAAGAGCACCATGACGCTCGCAAAGATGTCGCCGACGCCCGACGGCGGCTTGGACATGGTCTTGCAGTTGCCGAGGTCCTTGCGGTTGAGCGTGTCAAGGGCGGCCATCGCGGCGTCAATCTAGGCGGTTCTTGGTCATTTTTCGTTGAAGTGTTGCATACCATGGGCAGCGCGGCTTCGAGGTCCTTCTCCGTGTCGGCCTTCTTGACCGACATCTCGTCGTGCATCACTTGGCACTTGGCGGCTTCGACGCTCGCTTTTTGGGTCTCGGTCTCGACCACGATCTTGTCGGCGGCGACCGCGGTTGCCATTTCTTCTGCTACCACCTTCTTCTCCATCGCCTCGGCGAGCATGACCTTGAGCTCGTCTTCAATGTTGGCGACGACATGCGACGTGGCGTCCATCTTGTCAAGCCCCGACTGGAGTCGAAAAATGTCCTAATGGGAATAATTGAGAACGAAAATGACGGAAAATACGGGAAAACGTCCGGCACGGACCGTCGATTTCTCGCGCTGCTTGCAGCTCAGAAGCGCATTGAAGAAGGCGAGGCACTCGAGGTACGTCTTGGGTGTAGTGTACACATTGCGGTGCTCGTCGTTCTTGAACGCGATAGCAACCGTGTTGACGGAGGCAAAGGCGTGCGGCATGAACGCCTCGACGGCCGTGAGCTTTTCATCGTGGAGTGTCGTGGCGCTGAGTGCCTTTTCTGCGACGCTATGGAGGGCATCGGCCGGCCACGGCTGGAACCAGTCGATGCCCGTGCAGTTGACGAGCGCGGGAAACCGCCGCGCCCACTGCCGAAGGCGCCCGTCGACCGGTGAGAAGCAGAGCACACAATGTACGTTGCGCTTGATTTGATCGAGAAAGTACGCCCAACTGGCATCCTTGTCCTATATGCCAATTTTTCAGTTACTATAGACCACAAGGAGAGTGCGTACGCCTTTGTATTTGGCTGCGACTTGGCTCACGACCGCATCTTGCTCCTCACTCGAGTAGAGATCGGGCACATTGCCAGATGAAAGCAAATCGTTGATGGCCACGAGCATGCGGTCGTGCTTGATGTCGGCGTCGCTCAAGAGAAAGACGACCTTGTCCCCTTTGAGCCCGGCGCGAGCAAACAGCGCTTGGAGATCGGCCTTGAAGTCGAGCAGACTAGCCATTTCATCATAGTCTTTCTCGATACCATGAGGCTTCGAGCCAAACCTGTAGCTCTGCGTGAGAGTGATGTCGACGGTACTGTAGGACGCCACGTGCGCAGCAAGGCGGGCGAGCGACTTGCGCCCGCTGCCGCCAACGCCGACGAGCAGCGCGTGGCCCGTCGTGAGCATGCGGACGATGCGCGCCACGTGTTCGAGGGCATCCTTGAAGAGAACGAGGTCCATCTTGGGCAAGAGCGCATTGTACTCGGTCAACGCGTCCTCGGCTTTTTGCCGCAGCTCCGTGTACGTCGTGATCTGGTCGTAGTCGCTCTCCGGACCATTGAGTGCGCCAAAGAGGATCGGGTCGGCGTGCTCGGGCGCAAAGAAGCGCTGGAACGAGACAGACGGAAATGACTTTTTGACGTGGTTCTGGATCATCACATTGTACTTGGCGAGGTCGGCGAGCGACACAAGCCGATCGGCGTAGACCCGTGCCGACTCGTGCATCCACAACAGCACCATTTTCGTCGTGTCCTATCGATGTTAGACATTATTGTTTATCAAATAACTTGTACCTCAAAGGCCGCGGGTTTTGAGAGCAAGAGGCCCGCAAAGACGTTCGAAATATGACGCAAATTGAACTCGTAATGAAAGTTGGCGGCTGTCTTGCGAAACGTCGCTGCCACTTGGTTGTGTAAGGCGAGCGCCGCTGTCATTTCGAAGGCGTTTAGGAAAGGACTAGGAAATGCGCAATATACCTTTGAGAAGCGCACCCGAGAGGCGCTTGACGTCGTCTGTAAAATCGGCAAGGTGCCCGTCCAAGAACGTCTGGTAGATGGTCACGAGGTTCGTCGGGCTCGGAAGCGCGACCGCAAACGTCACAAAATGGCGCTGGAGCCGCGGGTTGATCGAGAACGACCCGGCACTCGGGTTCATGCACGCAACAAACTGGCAGTCGACGAGGTGCTTGAGACTAAACTTGCTGCGGTCGTACCAGTGCTCGTAGTCGAGCAGCTGCCGGAGCAAGGCGAGCGCGCTCTGTGTGTTGTAGGCGTCCAGCATAGGCAAATTGACATCGTCCAAGAAGAAGATCCACTGGACGCCGGCCGTGATCGGGCCGTACGTCGAGCCCACGCGCTTGACGAGCTTGGCTTCCAGCATACTTTGGAGTGTCGGCGCGTTCGTGTAGTAGTTGAACGTCACGCGACTGGACTGGTAGCCTTTGTCATCCTGGTTGGTCAATCTTGTGCTCGCGTCGAGGTACCCGAGAAGCAGCCGCGTCTTGCCCGTGCCGGCCCCGCCAGCGAGCATGACGCCGTGCGACTCGCTCACCATCTTGTCGCTCCAAAATAGGACACTGGCCGTCTCGGGCGTCGGCACCGTGAGGTCGTACATGGCGACGCTGGCGTCGTACTTGACCGACGACGTGTACCATACACATGTCTTCCAGCTCTCAAACACGAGCGTTTGCGGGTTTAAAAAATAGTCGAACACCGTGTCCCGGATCGGCACCTTGATGCTCTTGAACTCGGCGCGCCACCAGTCGCTAAAGAGCTTGCGACTGTCGGTGCCGTCGTCGGCGGTCGTCGTCAGCGGCCCTCCGAACGCCCAAATGGACGCAAACCCACACACAATCTCAATCCGTTTGGTCTCGGCGACCACGCTTGCATCGAGCGTAGCATCGAGAAAGTAGAGAAGGGCTTGCACCGCGACGAGGTCGGGTCGCGGCACGATCGGCGGTAGCCGCTTGCAGTACGCGACGCATGGCTCGACGTACTTGAGCACAACTTCGCCGAGGCGACTGCGAACGTCGACCTCGGGCGAGGCATCGTTGAGCCAGCTCGCAATGAACGATCGGTACTGCATGCCTGCGCACTCAATGAAGACGGCAGATCACGAGAGGCGGGTACCGTCGTCGGCAGCCAGGTACAAGATGCCGGCGCGGGACACGGTCGCCGGCGTCGCGTACGTCAGGTCCTTGATCTCAAACAAAAGCCGCATGTACTTTTTGAGCGGAATGCGTTCGTTGGAGGCGAGTGTGAGCATCTTGTTGTCGTCCATGACCGAGTTCATCGACTCGATCCAATTTGCATCGAGATCGCTAGTCCATCTTGTTTATAACCATTTTTCGACAAAAATGTTATACCCGTCGAGGACGAGCCATTTCCAGTAGTCACCGTCGTCGTTGGCCAAGTCGCGCATGAGCTTGGAGAGTAGTCCGTCGCGCCACTCGCGCGTCGAGACGTGCATGAACCCATAGAGTTCGTCGGTCGAGACCACTTTGGGATTCAAGTCGACCAGTTTGACCTTGGTGCCCCGGAGCCCGCCAGCGTGCTGCAAGGTCGTGATGCACTCGGACTTGCCGGCGCCGGCCGGGCCAATCACAAACACACAGTGGCGCAGGGCCAGTAGCTCGTCGAGCTGCACCACTTTAAGCCGAAACCCGGGGTCCGGCCAGAGCCCAAGCGCTTCGCACGACGCTTCAATGTGCTTTTCAAGGTTGGCGTCCGTGGACCTCGTTTGTCCATCTTAGCGTTGATAGAATAGAATAGCAACGTACCGAGGAGGGTGCTCTTCAGGGAAAAGATCATTGAGAAGACCATGAAAAATAGGCTCGTCGGCCAGGACCAGCTTGGGCACGTTAAAGTCCCGCAACGCGCGTAAAAGGAGCTGGGACTCGCCGAGCGTTGGCTCGCTGCGCTTGAGCGCACCGGTAACCATAAGAATCGACTTGATTGCGCGAAGCCCCCAGTCGTAATGCTCTTGCTGCGAGAGGAGCTCCTTGCAGAGCTGGTACAGGTTATAGAACTTGGACGCAAGTGTCTTGGCCTGGGTAAACCCTTGGGCCATGAGCATGTTTTCGCAGATCAAGAGCAGGTCCGGCATCATGACTGTGATCGGACGGAAAAGGGCTTTGAGACCTTCCGGCAGCTCGGACCGCCCGAGGTACCCCGGGTTCATCGTGATAAAGGTGCCGCACGTTGGGTCCAAGCCGACACTGTCGCCTACACCACGGCCATAAGCATTCCATGCAGAAATATACATATGAAAAAGACGCAAACTGGACCTTCGAGAACGATCGACGCCGCGCCGCTTCGAATGCCATCGCACACGGCTTTGAATTGCACACAGCAGACGCTGAGCACTTCGGGTATGAGGCGGTTGAATTCGTCAAAGCAGCCCCACGCGCCGCTGGACGCCAACCCTAACCCGAGTTACGTCTTGTACCGCGACCATTGTGTACCTTTGAAAATGTTGCCAAGGCTTTTGTAGTCCATCTCGGGCGAGCAGTTGAAGACATAGCACGCTTTTCCGAGCGCACTGGCGAGGTCTTTTGTGGTCTCGGTCTTGCCCGTGCCTGCGGGTCCCGCCGGCGCGCAGCCCATGTGCAAGTGCAGTGCTTGGGTCGCCGTCACATACATGCGGTCCGTCAACGGCGTAATGACGAGGCGCGGGCCGTTGCCGAGGTACTCGAGGCCATATTCGAAGCTTGCATCGCAAATATCGAGCGACGGCGTCGCCTCCAGGACCAGCCTACATGCCACCAGCGTTGCATATTTTGTCGTTGTTGGACAAGCAGCGATAAGACGTACCGGGGCTTGAGCTGGGCTTGCCACACAAAGGAGGCCGCCGAGGTGATGTGCTGGGACACCATGGACTGGAGAATGTCCCGGCCGTGCGCATCCAGCGTGATGAGGCACATGATGCGCATGCGCGCATCTTCGCTCAGCGACGTTCGCGTCAGCTTGATGAGCTCTTGGAGCTGGATCGAGACGACTTCGAGGAGCTCGCCCAGAGCGTTTTCGTGGCCTTTGGCGATCGCGCTAAATGCGCCTTCAACGTGCTTGACGTACTCAATGCCGGCGACCAAGAGGACGACCTACTTGCTTTGGTTCCTTTGTTGTGTGTATCAAGACAAGAACCTGCGCCGGGTCGAGGAAGGCGGCTTCGGGCGTCCGCGCTGAGAGCCACTCGACGCGGTTGAGCGTCGGGTACCGCTTCACAGAGCTCTTGATGCTTTCGAGGAGCGTTTGTTGCATGGCCAAGTGCGCGTCTGTCAAGTACGCCTCGACTTTGCCCGTGAGCGCGAGCGGCGAGAGGAAGCGGACGACTTCCTTGCCGACGCTTGCGACAAACTGCACGATAATGTTTGTGTGCTCAAATGCAAAGCTCTCGGTCGCGAGGAAGACCTTGTTGAGGTGCTTCAAAATGAGTTCGGGGCGGCTTCCGTTGGAGAGAATATCGAGCAAGTCGGCTTCCGACGTAAAATAAAAGCGCGGAAAGAGCCGACGTTTGCCTTCCAAAAACTCGATCAGCGACGTCTGGCACGTCTGCAGGGTGGAAATGAGTGCTTGAAGGTGCGCCACCTGATTTGGGTGGTCCGTACACGCTACTTCGACCGTGGCATCGAGACATTAGGAATGAAAAGTAGGTACCTCGCAGCACAATGCGCACGTCGGCCATGGCGTGGAGTAGGGTCTTGACCGCGCCGTCGACGATCGCAAACTGTTCGGCGTCTCGTGGCAACTCGCGCTTGACCTCTTCCGAGCCAATAAAGAGCGGCTCCAAATAGGCCCACGTGCGCTGGATCTCGCTCAGCGCCGCCGTCACGTCGGCAATCGTGCTACATCCGCATATTGTCTTGCATACTATAGACAATAAATGTACCTGAGTTTGTCGGCCCACACTTGGCTCGCGGCTTGGAAGAACGCCACGCGACCACTGAGCATCGCTTGCACGGCCACTTGGTCGGCCTCCAAGATCTCGACGTCTTCGTCGCGGACGCGGAGAAGGGGCACGTCTGTCTCGTCGTACGACGACAGTTCAAATGCGATCGTGTCCCAACGGCCTTCGATTTCGGCCAAGGCCACTTCAATCCGTTGCTCCTTCTGTGCGCGGTCCGTAAGGTCTTCGATGTCCTTGCTGTGATCGGCAAGCGAGAGACGCATGAGGTCGCCAAATTTGAGGTCGAGCGACTCGATCGGGTTGGGAAATGTCGTTTGCAGCAAGCCCATGAGCTCTTGCCAGTGCCGCGCCTGCATGGACGGGTGTCGAAGCGCTTGGTAAAGCGGGCAACTCAGTAAAAAGTCGCGCGTCATGGCTTCGAGCCCCAAGTAGACACTGCTTTCCTTAATGTCGCGGTCTTTCCCGACACCTTTGACGCTGGCCATGAGACTCCGCGCTTCGTCCTCGAGCATGCCGCCGTCCAAGTCGGCCCAGAGAAGGTCCCGCACAAACGCCAGTTTGCGGCCAACGTCGTCGACGCAGTGCCACACAGCGCGCAGGCGGTCGAGGCACCGCGCGATGCCATTCATGACGCGCTCGGACGGCTCCATGAGCGGAAGGCACTCGAAAATCTCGGCGATGTGCCGCATCTGCTGAAATTTGGCGTCTTCGTCACGATGACAAATCGCCGCTTCGTCGAGTTGCCGGAGGCCGCCTTTGACGCCCGTCTCAAAGCGCCAGATGGGCAGGGCCTTGAAGCACTCGTGGTACGCGAGCACGGTCGTATGGTGAGCTTGAATGTCGCTTTTCGTGCGCGACGCCTGGGCTTGCAGACGCGGTGCAATCTTGCCCGCGACCATGGGCACCTTGAGAAGCAAGTCCGACCACGTTTGTTCCAGATCACGGAGCGACGCCTTGTCGCGCTCGACGTCGACGGTCGTCCCCAGATATGCGAGCATGCTTCGAACCTTGGCCAGTCGATGGCGCGTCTCCGTGCCCCGCTTCTCGATCATAAAGAGCTGCTCCTTGAGTTGAATGAGCGCGGGGGTGTCTTCGGCCGATGAAAGCGACCCTGTGAGCTCGATCTGGAGCCCGCGCGCGCACTCGGCCATCATGGCCGTGAGCGACGCCATCTCCATGGCCACGTTGTCCAAGAGGAGCTTGCCGTTCATGCGGTTGCCGTCGCGGGCGACATTGTCCTCAAACGTGACGACCAGCGGAAAGCCGTAGAGGACACCGGCGGTGCCCCCAAAGGTGCCAAGGAACTCGATGACAATCTCGTACTCACCGCGCGTTGGCGCAATGTACGTGACCATGTACATGCCGTTCTCCAGGTCGGTCACTTCGACTGGAATGTCGCGGTCGTCGGCTAAGCAGCGCACCGTGATACCAAACGCATCGCCGCCGCGCGTTCGCACATTGCCGGCGCCGTCGCAGGCTTGTACAACGAACGCGACCGGCTCCGAGATGGCGGCGCCCGAGAGGACGCCTGGGCCAAAGACCAACGAGGTTGCGGCCGACGTGACAGCGAAAAAGTTGAACGTTTGGCTCGTCGTCGTAAACGAGTCGCCTTGAAGCGCGACGCGGACTTGGACGTCGCCGGGGGGGAACCCCGAGTAGTCGGGCGTGACGACTGTGAGCATTTCTTCGCTCACAAACGTCCCCGCGACGTCCAATGTGCCCTTGCGACAGGCGAAGCGAACGATGACAGGCCGAGACACAAAGTCGATGCCTTCGATCGTCAGGAGCGTACCGCCCGTGATGGCGCCAAAGGTCGGGAAGAGCCCCGTGATCGCGTACGGCGGCCCGACGACGCAGCTCACGTCGAGTGCAAACACATCGTTGAGCCACGAGTTGGCCCACCCGCCGCATATCAGTAAGCGACTGCCTTTGTCGTCGTACGCGAGCGTCGTGTCGGAGCGGGGCGCGGGCGGGGCGCCCGAGATCAACGGCACGTGCCACTGCAATGTGCCCGAGTCGAGGACGCTAATGTCGTTGGCAAATGCGCCGGGTGCACCGTACTCGTTGGTCATACCGAGGACGCCCCCAAAGCAAAAGATCTTGGCGTTCGGGATCGCCAAGACGGCGCACGACGCGTGATTCCAGCGCGGCGACGTGTGCGCCATGTGACTGCCCTCGACGCTGCTCCACGACGATGTTTCCGTATCGAAAATGAACAAGTCGTTGAACTGCTGCGAGCAATTCCAGCCGCCAAACACAAACATTTTCGTGTCGACCGCGCACGCTTGATGGCCCGACCGCTTCTCCGGAACCTTGCCCTTGACTGTGATTTTCACCCAGCTCATGTCGTCAACGTTGAGTGCATACAAGTCGTCAAAGTCGCGCCGACTGTAGCCTTGGCCACCGTACCCGCCAAAGATGTAAATGTCACGGTCGACGAGACAGGCCGAGTGCCCGCCACGGGGTGGCGGGCAGTTGGGCCACCCGAACGAGACGGACGATGGCTTGGCGTTGCGCGGCGACGCCTGCGGCACGGGCTGGCTCCACTCCATCGTGATCGGGTTGAAGACCCAAAGGTCCTGGAAGCGGGCCGTCGCCGAGTGGAAGCCGCCAAACACAAAGATCTTATTGTCGACGTTCGTCGCGCTGTGCTTCCAGCGCGCGGCCGGGCCTTTCCGAAAGAGGACGCGACTCCAGTCGCACGTGCCGTTGGTGTTGATGCGCATTTGGAATAGGTCGTTGGTCGGCCCTGGGGGGTCGGCATAGTCGCAGCCGCCAAAGAGGAACCCGTTCGAGCCGACGATCGTGAGCGAGTGACCGCTGCGCTTGGACGGGCCATCGCCCGTGCAAAGCACCTTGGCCCACTCGAGCTGCGGTGCTACGTTGAGCTCCGCCTCGTCCTCCATCAATGGTCGATCAGGCGCGCCGGCTCGAGATGACCTTTCGTAGGATCGCGGCTGGGCCAATCCGCGGCACGGACGCGTACTATTTTGTCCAATCAAATTGCATCCTGGGCACGCCTCTCAGCCATGCATGGGAAATCATGGGTCGTACTCCTGAACCAACAAGATTTGTAAAGGAGAGCTATCTACACTACTCGCACAAATGCAACACGAGTGCTACGACGCAGAAACGAGGAGGGCTTGTTCTCGGTCCACACTATCTCGGTTCAATTGGTCCGCGTAAATCCTGTACGTGCTTGGATTCGGATTGGGTCGAAGCATTCGATATTTAGCCAATCAAACACATCGAAAGCGAGCCAGGGCAGCATTTGCACTGTGCATCATCGCAAGTCGTCGCAAGAGCATAAAAAGGTTTTGTTATCCTTAGTCAGAGTATCTCGCCGGATTCACAGAGCCGACCGCGACATGGCGGTCCGCCCCGTCACGAACACAAGCCGGGGCCAGAAAAGTCGATCTTTTCCGCCAATCATATGGTGCTTGATTTTTGATCCGCGTATCCAGCAACGTCGACGACCCACGCACCTTAGGTGGCGTGTATACCTAGGTACGCGGAGCGATGAATGGCGCGCCAGAGACACGCGCCGCGTGGCGTTTATGTCCCCAGCAATCTCGCGAGATTGCACTTTCTCCCAGCTGCCAGTTTCCCTTTTCCCTCCAACTACAGTACCCCAACACCATGAAGGTCGCCTTCTTTTCTGCGCACGTGTACGACACGGAGTCGATGCAAGCCATGGCCAAGGCCGAGAACATCGAGCACGACCTGCACTTCTTTGCCCACCGCCTCACGCTCGGCACGGCCCAGCTCGCGGCCGGCTGCGATATCGTCGTCATCTTTGTCAACGATACCGCCAACGCGGCCGTGCTCCGCAAGCTTCACTCGGTCGGCGTCAAGGCGCTCTTGCTGCGGTGTGCCGGCTTTGACATGGTCGACCTCGACGTCGCGGCCGAGCTTGAAATGCCCGTGCTGCGCGTGCCGGCCTACTCGCCGTACGCGGTCGCCGAGCACGCGGCCGGCCTCATGATGACGCTCAACCGCAAGTACCACCGCGCCTACAACCGCACCCGCGAATTCAACTTTAACCTCCAAGGTCTCCTTGGCTTTGATCTGCACGGCAAGACGGTCGGTATCATTGGTACCGGCAAGATTGGCGCGCTCTTTGGCAAGATTTGCGTCGGCTTTGGCTGCAACGTGATCGCGTACGACGTCTTCCAGAACGCCGAGGCCTTGAGCTACGGCATTACGTACAAGAGCGTCGAAGAGGTGATTGCCGAGTCGGACATTATCTCGCTCCACTGCCCGCTCTTCCCGTCGACGCACCACATTATCAACAACGACTCGATCGGTCGCATGAAGAAGGGCGTCATGATCATCAACACGAGCCGCGGCGGCTTGATCAACACCAAGGCGCTCATCCGCGGCCTCAAGAACGGCCAAGTGGGCAGCGTCGCGTTGGACGTCTTTGAAGGCGAGAATGGTATCTTTTACGAAGACCACTCGGGCGAGATCATGGCCGACGAGAATTTCACCAAGCTCTTTACGTTCCCCAACGTGCTCGTGACGGGCCACCAGGCGTACTTCACCCAAGAGGCGCTCGCCAACATTGCCAAGACGACGATGGACAACATCAAGGCGATCGAGTCGAACGGCCCGTTTGTCAACCAAGTCAAGAAGTAATAAGTCGCGTGGAGGTTTAATAAATATACAAAGATACATAATTGTCGTTCGTTGTACATACTCTGGTATCTGGTTGTCCTGTTGGCGCGCCTTCCAGCACGCAACGATGCATCTCGTCGAGCTGACGAGGCGAGAATGGCCGAGTCTTTTTGTTGGGTACGTCTTGACTGGCTATGTGCTTGCAAAGACGACTGTGTACGAAACAAAGGCGATTGCAGCCAAGTGGTGCTGGTCCCTTGCCAACGTCGGTCTGCGACATGCCACGACCAGGCTTGCTCCTCGTGGAAGAATCCCTCGATCCCACACCCAAGCTACTCGTTGCCCCACATGGTGCCACGTCATAGTAGTACTAGTTGTATCAACGAACCCAATTCTGCCTGCCCTCTCGTCGTCGTGAAGCCGCGAACGCGGGTCCACGGGGCGTCACCGCGCCGTTGACTACGTGCGTGTCTACAGCGCACCGATGCCGTCGACAGAAAAGATGCCATGTGGCGTGTCTTTACTGCATGGATACCTTCTTGAAGGGACCCTCCAAAGTGAAGCCACGTTGCAGCGCACGCAGCATATCCAGCCAACGAAAA